GTAACAATAATAGAGAGAGGAATGTAAAACTACGTGAGGAAGTGATACAATAAAATGGTACGATAGAAGTGGTGTGATGAAGAAAGAATGTATGACCAAGAGAAAGTCTGAGATGACTATTATGTAAAATATGAGGTGATTTTTCTACTTAACATAGGTTAACTGGTGTGTATTGGAAATTTTCAATTACCTGTTTCCCCTAGGAAAATGTTTTGAAAACTCGTTTTACCCATAGCAGTGCTAATATAATTTCTTAAATTTCCGCGACATTTGCTCAATACTCAGAAATTCTTTGATACATCATTGATATAAGATATTTTAAGAAAAGAATTAAAGTATAAATTCCAATTAAAATATAGATAAATAAATTTCATGCAATTGAATATTGTTTTAGTTTTAGAAAAAATAAATGTAAAACATTGATCGTTAACTATACTTTTTGTTCATCTTTGGAAAAAAATCCAGACGTGTACCGATAAGTTTGGCTGTTGGAACTGTTTGTATAGGTATATTATTTTTATCCAATGGATTTGTACCTAAGTTATAATCTGCATATTTAAATGTACCACGGACATTTTTCCAGTTATTATAGAATGTTAAACGGACTGGATTATTATATGAGATAGCACCATTTGGTTCAGAATTATAAGGATAATTATAATTAACGGATCGTACAAGTACTTCATTCTTTTTATTCAAACATCTCCACTGTCCAGTTATATCACCAAAAGATAATGATGTATAAGTATTATTCCCATTTTGAGTATTATCATAAACTGTTAATGTATAATCATCATGAAATGTATATAATTCATATGCTACACCTGCATCAAAATTAATAGTTAATTGATATATTTGACCACTAATACGTTTATGACAGAAATTTCTATTCGATTTAGAATGAATTGTCAGTGGTATTGTAAGAATAAACATAAAAATATTCAGTTTCATAATCATATTTTGAACGTTTCTGCGTGCTATTATTGTCTTTCCTTTGTATCTCTCAACCTAATATCAAAAGAAAATAAAACCTTCTGTTATACAACTAGTCAACGACAACACGAAATGATTCTTAT